GCGCCCGCGACCGCAAGCAAATCGTAGAGCAATTTACGAGTCACCGAAATAATTTCGAGCTAATTTCAAAACGCAGAAGAGTCGCGCGTGGTCGTCGTCGTGTCGCAGGAGGTCGTCGTCGCCGTGGGCGGAGGTCCGCACGCGCGCGAGCGAGCGCTTTTGGAGCACGTCCACGTCGGGTTGATTTCGCAAAGTTGCGATATCAACGAGCGGAACGCGCAGTGTGGACACTCTCGGATCGCAGATTCTTTCCCTGCAATTGATACATATACGCAAAACGCATAGAAACGGCCTTTCCTCGACGCCGGAAACTTGAAATATTCTTTCTCCATATACCTTTTTGTCTTCACAATCGATCGATTTCTCTCCCTGTAAACGGTACGCACTCGATATCGGAATTAAATTATGTCGCTTCGATACCGGATATTTGATTTCACTCGAGAACGAGTTTCAGCGCCTCGTGACTTAACTATACGTGGGCTGCAGTTTCCGCTTCCGCGGAAAAATCGACAGGTCGGATATCTCGGCGGGGCAAAGGATAACGTGAGTCACGCGAAACTCGTCGTACGTGTAATTGGGCGGCTGCGAAATTCCAGGGGATTGCACAATTTTCGACGGCGCGTTTCGTGTCCCGATAATTCATTGCCCGTGTCGCGCGCGCGGACTCTGAATATATCTCTGATATATCGAGGAAACCGATCGACCGCCTCGACTTTCGAAGTCGGTCGTTCGCGGATCGTGTCGTAATGCGCCGGCAACGTGACTGCCAGGGGAACGTTCGAGAGGTGAACTTCCAGTCTGCAGCCTTCAACGGCGAGATCCTATCAGGGGGTGGCCGCGATAACTCCGCCGAAAATGGTACGACAATCGAAACGATTCATTTCACACAGGAAAAGAACGATTTTGCTAGAAGGCCTAAAAATTTCGCTGGATACAGATCTGAAAATAATTTTGTTGGATCATAAAAATAATTTGTCAAAAATTCAAACTGGTTGCTAGAATATCGAAACATTTTACAGAAGTGCTCGTCGTTTTTTAGTTTCCAACAAAATTATTTTGATAGTCCAATAAAATTATTTTCATATATCTATATCCAGCAAAATTTTGAGATCTTTCAGTAAAATCGTTCTTTCCGTGCAGGAAACGCGAAATATATACACGGAAAGAACGATTTTGTTGAAAGGTCTAAAAATTTTGCTAAAAACAGATGCTGAACAGATGAAAATAATTTTTTGTTGAATCATCAAAATAATTTGTTGGAATGTCAAAGCTGATAAGCATTGCTATAAAACGTTTTTATATTCTAGCAATCACTTTGACTTTCGCACAAAATTATTTTGATTGATTGAACAAAAATTATTTTCAGATCTGGATTCAGCAAAATTGTTCTTTCCGTGTAGAAAAAAGAACTTTATACGACTATAAAAGTGACAACTGTACAAATTTTATATGTAGAATTAATAATGTAGTTGAATAAACTGTTTTATAGTTGCAATTAGAATTTATTCAACTATGTACATTATTAATTCTACACATATAATATTTTACATTTGCAACTATAAAGTAGTTTATTCTGCTATGTATATTACTTTGTTCAACTCTACATATATTACATTAATTCTACATATAAAACATGTAGAATTGTCACCTTTACAGTTGCCACCACTAATATTTTTCTCCGAGTGACAAACACGTGATACATCGTTATCTCGAACATTCCGATTTACGTTCTTAACTGTTCTATTTCCCCTCGACGTGACGCATAACGGCACGATGACTCCGCCAAAAATGATACGTTTAATCGAAACGATTCGTTTCGCGGGAAACGCGAAATATAAGCGGGATGCATCATCATATCTTGCAAATTACGATTTCCTTAACTGTTTCTATTCCCCCCTCCCGTCCCCTCGCGACGTGACGCATAACGTGCGGTGTCAATACGCCGTTGCTGCTCCTTCCTCGCGTTTGGTGAGCACGAAATTATTCGACCCAGTTGAGCGAGAGAGTCGCAGAATTAATGAGTCACCCACGAACTTCTGAAAAACAGAATAGAAACGACGACGGCGCGAGTTGCGTAACACCGGTATTAAATAACGAGTGCGCGTCACGCCGGTGTGAGTTGTCCGATTTCCATATCAGGATCCTAGAAATCTTGCTACGTCTCTCTCTCTCTCTCTCTCTCTCTCTCTCTCTCTCTCCGTGATGATCTTCGTTTTGGCGCGCGGTCCGCGGATCGGGAGGGGAGGGCGACTCCTCCGTGTCAGTAAACTCGTCGCAGTTGCGGCGACGCCGAATTGTTTGCTCGCGGTTTACAGTTTGTCTCCGTTAAAAGCCAGGCCCAGACCGAACGAGCGCCTTCCCTTTGACAAGAGAGGGAAAACGTTTTCATCAGCATAAATTTAGGTTCGTTTGTGGCTTGAACTAATTTCATTCTCCCGTCCGCATTCTTTATTTGATTTGAACTTTACTCGACTCTCAAGACCGGGAAGGAACCTTGGTAAACGAATCAAAGCCCGTGTCGCATTGGAAATTGAGGACTGCGAAAATTTCCGAAAATTTCGAGATTAGAATTTAGACAGTCAGAATGTAACGGATTAAAATTGAATTATCTGATCAAACAAATTCTTCAGTTGATCTTCAATTCGTAATCCTCAGTCTCCAAGTGCGTAGTGCGACACGGGCTTAAAGCCTCGGGTCGAACACTTTGTACTGGACTGGGTAAACGAGCGCGAACGAACGCGATTGAACAATTCGCTTTGACGAGTGCGCCGCGAACACGGGCGAGTCTGGGGTCTTCCGCGAATCCGGGGAAGTCCGCGGTAACGGAGGCTCGACTCTCATTAACGCGCCGCACGCCGTATAGCGGCCACACTTCCGCGGAAATGAGCCTAGCGCCTAGCCGTGGTTCTTACGTAACGCGCGCGTCGTTACATCCGTCGCGCGCGAAACGCTTTATCATTTGTATTGCCGTAGGAGCTAAAGTTCATCAATAGTTGCGTAACGACGTGCGCGCGTCTCGACGTTTTGCTCTGCCAAGATCTCATTTCCCGCGTCAACTATGATTTGATAGCATAACGATATGTGACAAGTAGAAATCTGATACAACGAGAATGACAAAGCGGATAGAAAATTATCCGACTGATATCTGTTTATTGTGCCATAAAGTATGTCGTCCGCTCCGCAGTGACGTAAAGGAAATTGAATAAGTGGGATTTTCTACGCACCGCGCAGGATTTTTTTTAGATGATTAAATGAGATTCGTTTTTCCTTGTTCGTTTTTTTTTTCGTTGGTGGACAATTGCGAAATCATCACGCGGATTTTCAGACAATTCGGCGACGTCTCGGATCGTCGGGACACGTGCGCTTTCTTTTTTACGAAAATCAAGCTCGATGCGCGATTATCGCGGCGGCGATAAGCGATGCGATTGACACACAACGCCGTGCCTATTACGTCGATTAAAATATTCCCGCATATGAAACACGGCCAATTTACGTAATACGATACTTATCTCATCTAAAAATGGATTCCTTGTACTGGCCACGTATGGCTAATCATTCGCAATGCGATTAGCTTGTTGCGAGGTGATTTTTTTCCGATCAACGATTAATCCGCGAGAAAGAGAGAGAGAGAGAGACAAAGAGAATAGATACGCGGGAAAGGAAAACGTGCAATTTTTTTTTCTCGTGCATCCTCTCGGTATTCAATTAACACACGTTAGCGACAACGGCCTCGAGCCGCACCGGGACTTGTGCAATAAATATCGAAGGTCGGACGAAGCGTGTTCTCCGCCGCGTGTTACCGCGGCGGCCGCCCGACGTCCCGAACACGTGGACCGGTCCGGTGAACGCACGTGTGCGGTTGCGTAACCGGGAGCCCGCCGTGCATCCGCCACCGCCACCGCTCGGATTAAGGCTTACTTACGTGTAGGTACGCGAAGAGGCGATGCGCCGGCGGTGAGTATTTTCATCCGCGATCGCGAGTTAAAAATAAACCGCACGAAGAGACCGCGCCGTTCTTCTCGTCTCTCCCGCCTCTCCTCGTGGCTTAATCGCCAAACCGATAATCGAACTGCGGGGACAATCTAATTATACGAGCTTACGTCATCGTTATCCTCAACGGTACTCGTCCCGCCTCCGTCGCCCGAAATTTGAAGAATCTTATCTCAAAGATTTTTTTACCGCTAATCGATCGAGAGATCTGCGTGGAATTCGGATTTGTCGAGCGAGTTTCTCGTAAAATTGTCGCCAATCGGAAAGATCAAGGAGATTCGGTTTTTTGAAACAACAGCTGTTGCGTAAGAATTCGCGAAATAACATATATATATATTTTTTTTAATCGTCAGACAGTCAAAGGTGAAGCGAACGACTCGTCGGGCCGGGTTCACTGGCACCTTCTGACCTTGGCGAGCGCGACCTTACTCAAGGCTGTTTTGCAACTTTGGACGAGAGACGTACGTCCGTTGGCAGCGCGAGCGCGAGTGTCCCTCGGAATTCTCTCGAAATTCTTTATCTTTGGCTGCTCTTGTCCGTGCTTCGACGTCAGAAGCGCGGGTCATATTAATCAGTCGTCACGTTTAAGATAATAAAAAAAAAAAATAAAGTAGATTTGACGAATTGCAATTCTCTATGATTTGATCGAACAGAGCTTATTTCCAAACCAAACTTGAAAGGAAATTATACGCTTCTTAGGACTTTGCGGTTCGCAATTTCAATTTTTCAAAACTTAAATTCAAGACAGTTTGGCAATGAGCTTTTCGATCGTAGGTACCCCTCTATTTGACATGCACAATACGTAGTTCTCGATCGTTAGAGCCAGTCCTCTCTCTGACGTATGTATTATCGCTATCGTTTGGCATGCCAGGGTTTCGTCACACCCGCCGTTAATAAGCGCGACGGGCGTCGATCACGCGATAGTTGACCCGCGAATTAAAAATCTCGCGCTGCGCGGTGATGTTTTGCGTCTCGCACGATTTAACCGGCTTGTTCTTTCTCCGTTTCAGATGTACTAAGAAGACGAATTATGGTGGCAGAGTTTGTCTCCCGCCAGAGTGGATCGCCCATCAATGGTGAGACCGCGTGTCTAAACAGTAACATGCCGGCCACGCACACAATGGCCCACAGCGGCGGTCACGGCGCGCCCCACGGCGGGCCTCACGACGCCCATGGACCTCTCACGGTGCCCCTCACGCATCCCGGCCATCACGGCGGGCCCCCGGCCGCGATTCAGCAGCAGCAGCATCAGCATCAACCACAGCAGCAACCGCCGCCGCCGCCGCCGCAGCAGCAGCAGCAGCAACAGCCGCCGCACCATCATCACCATCATCAGGCCCAGCAGTCGCAGCCGCAGCAGCAACAACAGCAGCAGCAGCAGCACCATCATCACGATCATCACGATCATCACGATCATCACGATCATCACGATCATCACGAGCATCATGATCATCACGACGTGGCGCAAGTAACGACGCATCCCGAGAATTTCCCGCCCAATTTCGACATAAGAAAGGAGCTATTTTCGCAGCGTAAGCAGCGCGAGTTCATCCCCGACAACAAGAAGGACGACAGCTACTGGGATCGTCGCAGACGCAACAACGAGGCGGCCAAGCGGTCGCGCGAGAAGCGCCGATTCAATGACATGGTCCTGGAACAGCGGGTGATGGAGCTCAGCAAGGAGAACCACATCCTCAAGGCGCAGCTCGAGGCGATACGCGACAAGTTCGGCATCTGCGGCGAGTCCGTCATCAGCACGGAGCACGTGCTGGCCGCGCTGCCGACGGAACCCACGATCAGCGTGAAGCGCGCGAAGATACCGGCGACGGCGGCGATCCATCTCTACGCGCGCACGCCCAGCCCGGTGCACACGTCGGTGATCCATCAGCCGGTGAGCGGTGCCCGCTCGCCGAGATCGCCGGCCCAGCTCTACGTACCCGAGACGACCGCCTACCCGGAAACCGAGAGCTTCCAGTATCCGTACTCGCACCCGGCGATGCATCATTTGGACACCACGAGCGCGCTCAACCTGTCGTCGCGCGGCCGCCGGGCGCAGTCGCCGTTCGAACTGTCGTCGGGCAGCGGCGACGAGGCCGGCCCGCAGATAGTCGTCGGCTCGCAGAATAGCCCAGCCGCCAACAACAGCCTGCCCCACAAGCTCAGGCACAAATCGCGCATCGGTGACAAGGACGCCGCGAGTGCGCTCCTCGCGCTGCAGGGCATCAAGCAGGAGCCCGGGCCGCGCGCGTCGCCGCCCTGGGACGAGGGCTCCAGCGACGAGCGCGACTCCGGCATCTCGCTGGGCGCCGAGTGGACCGGCCCGACCATCACCGCGGTCTCGGAGAGCGATCGAGAGGTGAAGATGAAGCTGGATCGTCTCGCGTCCGAGGTCGCGAATCTACAATCGATATTCCGCCTTGGGAAGCCCGTCGCGGTGGCGGCGGCGGCCGCGGCGGCGGACAGCCTGGTGACGGGTCACTCCGCCGCCACGGTCAGCGGACCGTGAAGGGCACACGGGTCTCCTCCGCCCGTCCCCCTTCTTTTGCGGGTCACTGCGAGTCCTCCCCCACCCCCTCCTGCTTGGCCGGATGTCGGGACCCTTGGAAATTGGACGTGGAGCCGTCGTCTGGAGGACGCGCGGGAAGGCCAATGGATCCTTGAAACCGTCGCGAAGCTGGTTACATCGCGCCGAGCGTCGCTGGAACGTCGTATTCGCGATCGAGCGTAAAAGGCTTCTTGTAAAGAATTCGCGAATTATTATTTAAACTTTAAAGGATGAAGCGCGCGTGGAAGAAAGGAGAGCGTGCGAAGAGCTTTCGCGGTGCCCGGTGCAATGGGAGCAGACGCGTATAATAGCGAGTCGGTCGCCTGTTCGTCCGATATTTGTGAAATAAGAAAATAGAACGCTCGCGAGTCCCTCGCGAGTGATTCGCGATTACCGATTGCTGCCGTCGAGCTGCTCTCGTTGCACGAGAGAGTTATCGATAACCGGGGGAGAGACGCAGCGAGACGACGCTCGCGTCTCTCGCTGTGTCCACGCGGAAAGAAAAAAAAACTTTAATCCTTCAACCCGTAGATTTATACCTCCTCCCCCGCCCCGGGACGCGAGGGTTCCTCTTCGATGAAACTTATATAACTTATTGTGATACGCGAGAGAGAGACACGTCAGTGTTTGGAAACGCCGTTTTGGAAACGAGAGAGAGAGAGTCTCCTACGACTCCCTCCCCCCGCCGCGTGGATTCGTCGGCTACCGGTCGAAGGGTTAAAGGCGTCGTCCCCTCCACTCTCGCGAAGCGAAAAGTGGAAAACTAGGAAGTTAAGAGAGCCGATGCGGAAATACCTTTGTAGCGCTGTAAGAGTTTTTACGTTGTAAGACTCCCGTAGGCTAATCGTTCTTCTAATTATTACCATTATATCGTTAACTAAGAGAGCTTTGTCGATCTGGGCAGACGTGTCGCGGCGCGGAGTCGTCGGGCCGAGTGCGTTATAATCGGCGCGATCAGGTGAGAACGCGTAAGGCACACGCATACACACATTCACGCGCGCGCACTGCGATCTGTATTAGACGGAGCATTATTACACGCGAGTTTACTCCCCCTCCCCCTCTCGATTGACGATTGGTCGCGCAACCGGCTATCTCACTACCATCGGATATTCATTAATACAGATTCATTCCCCGCGCGTACGAAGTATAGAGACATTACTTCTTCCTTCTCTCTTCCCTTTGTTTCTTTCCTCTTTCTTCCCGTCATCGCCATTGTCATCTCTCTCCTATTTCGCGATCACATTGGCGATCTCGCGCGGTGGAGCTTCAAGGCGTGCGTAGCTTTAATTCGCGGGTCATTTTATTTATATTCGCCAAAACCGACTAATCTACGTTATTAATCTTGTACATCTACATGTACATCGTTGTGGAATATCGGAAGCGAATTATATTTGTCTTGCTCGAGACCTCAGAAATTCGACTCACCGGATTCACGTTCGTTTCCGAAGCCGCTTTTTTTTTATTTATTGTGCCTCTCTTCCGTCTTGTATCTCGAAAGTCGTGGCCGAAGGCAGGACGGAGCTCCGCAAGAGAGTCCCTCGCGGGATCCCTTTTTCCTTGTTTACCTCCTCGCTCTCCGTCGAATCCCAGGTCCGAATCACGCTGGTCGATCTGGACTTGGCTGCTTGCGGACGGGGAGGGGATTGGGAATCGCGAGGCGGCGGCGTGTCCCTTTCCCACGCCAAAATCTCCTCGCGAACTTTGCGCGACTTGTCTCCGTTGTCTCCCTCTTCTTTTTGTACTTTTGCTATCGAATCCACGCTACGGTCGGCGTAGTGGGTAGCGGCGGGTAGGTGTATATATGTATATGTAGATGAAAAAAACGAAAGTGCATCTGTGTTACAAAAAACGCCGGACGAGAAAATAAAATTTAAAAAAACGCTGAACGCATTGGATGTTATGTACAATCGCCCGCGGAAAAAAGTTCTCTCGTAAAGGCGGAATTTAGCGCGTATATTGAAGTATTAAGCGAGCCTATAGGTGTATGTAATATATATATATTTACATAGCGTATATACTTGCAAGAAATATATATATACTATATCATATGCATATATATTTTTTTCAAATTAATGTATTTTTCGATATCACTGAAACGGAGCTGTAATAAACGCACGTGCAGCACGTGCTCGATTGTGCCGCCGTCGCCACCGAATTCGAAAGAGATTGCGAGGGAGATTGATTGTGTAACGCGGTTATAAAAGACCGGTCGAGTCGAAAATTTGTAGTTCGCGTTATCGGCGCGGATCGCCGTGGCCGTTGACCGGAACCAAAGTGTGATTTTTTTTCTTTCGCCTCCGAGGTGAGAAATGGAGGGATTATTTGTCCGACGGCGACGTGGAGAAAGAACCCGGCGCGATATACTTTTACTGACCGTTGTTCCCCCTTGATCGATCGATCATACGTTTTTACACATGTGATACGCTACAGAGCGAAATAGAGGCGCGAATCGACGTTAACCCGGGAGCAACCCGTAATAATTGCGAAAAGGCATCTCTATTTATTGTATACACTAATCGCCTATATGTTAACAAACGGATCGTGCACTCGGGGAAAGACACAGGCGGCTTAATATAGACGACAACTGTACAAGTTTTATACTGAAGATTTAACTGTGAAATTCACAGTTAAATAAGTTATTTTGTAGTTGCAACAACTATGAGATAGTTTATTTAACTATGCACATTAATTCTATATATAAAAGTTTTATAGTTGCCATATATTATATAATTGTCATCTGTATACATTAGTTTATTCAACTATGTATATTAATTCTACAAAAATGCAAAACTTGCATAGCTGCCGCCACTATGTTTTTCTTCGAGTGCGCGACGACGACGACGAGGAGGAAACTGGGAGACCGCAGGCGGCGGCGTTTTGAAGTCCCCTCTCGCGCGACAATCACGTCGCGCCTTTCGCGCGGACAGGATCTCGTCTTTTTTTTCCCTCTTGCCCCCGTATTTTTTTTACGTTACTCCCCCTCCGCTCGGGCGTGAATGTTCCATATATTTTGTACGGTACGCTTTTAAACTCCGCGGCGTCGTCGTCGTCGTCGTTGCGAGGAGGGGGAGAGGGAGGGGAAGAGGATCTCCAATTCGGCGCCGAATTTTCAACGGGCCCGGACCGAGGATGAATGTAAACGTGAAATCAACGACGTTGATTGACGCACTCAGATACGACCGTAAGATAGCAATAAAAACGCTCCGAGCCATCGTCGCCTGGCTTCGTATATTGTATATTCCGCTGTAACGGACGACGTTCGTAACAGCGTGTGTAACAATCCGCCGCGTTTCGCAGTTGCGTCGCTTGTAAAATACCGAGAGTGCCTGTGTTTGTAACGACGAAGTCATGCGGCGTTTCTCTCTCGGCGAGAGAAACGGGGATGCTGCACCGTGTAAATATGATGATACGTTTGTCTTCTATATTGTTAACTAACGAGCGCCCGCGATTATTCCGCGATTATTCAACGCGTCGACGAGGTCTCGACGCGATTCCGGATTTAACACACTCTACGCAGACCCAGATACACACACACACATACATACGCATACACGCAAAATACATCCCGATTACTCGCGACACCTTTTGCCTCGCTCGCTTCGAACGATCACGACGGGATCGCGAGAGAGCCGACACGTTACAAACAACAAATTGTACATATACAATCGCACCTTTTTTTTGCCAAAAAGCAGTTACGAGGACCGCCGGAGCGTCGGCCGGAGAAGGAACGACACTCTCACCACCTTTCTGTCCCGCTCCCTCTCTTCCACTTCCACACCCTCCCCCCGCCCCCCTCCGCTCCCACCCCCAATTATGCCCCCGCGAAATCGTTTCGCGCACGTTTCGACTACAGTTCCTATGCACTATACTAACGGTAAAGCGACTTAGAGGCGGAGAATCGATGACCCGTCGTCCGATTTGCGATTTAAAGAAAATGAAAATAAAAAAAAAACAACCGTAATTCCAATCGATCGAAAATAAGCTTGGTTCTCCTTTCTCCGGCTGCTCGGAGATGTAAGTATTTAGACTCTAAGGAACATATCCACAGCGCGTGTAGTGTACTTGTATATGAATACCGATAAATAAATATTTTCAATGTTTTTGACACAAAGCCCCTCCCGCAGTTCTTTGAACCCTTCCTCGCGTCTTCTCCTTTTCAATAATTTAAAGAAGAAGACGAACGCTTTTCTCAATAAGTTATATATATGTATTTTATACGAAATATAATTCAGAAAAGATGCGGACAGAATATGTCTTCGGAAAGTAATCTATGATAAGCATAAATATATCTACTTTCGATAATTAAATACTGCGCGTGTGATTATAAAAAGAATATAAAAAATATATATGTATACATTGTAAAATATTTTGTACAGTATAAGAACTGTCTACTCATTCAAGTGAAAATCAGTCCTACGTCTAAACAATACATTGCACACTAAAAAAAAAAGCCTATAGTCTGTTCAGCGAGAAAGAACCCATGGATAGAACGAAAACTTGTTCGTTTCACGCAAGTCTTTCCCCCTCCCCTCCCCCCAGAACACTTAGAAAGCCCCTCTCCACACACAGCGTGGAGTATTATTGCTTAGATTGCCAATGCCAGCGGTTGGAACGTGCAACGCTCTGCCCGCTGCCGCACAGATCATGGGTATTTTCTCGCTGAGCAGAATACACAGTATCAATGATAAGTCAATGAATCTGAAAGGACACTATTCAGAAACTAGAACAGGGCGACGTCATTACCGTGAGAATAAATTTGGAGCCGAGAGAGACGAAAAAAAAAGTCATATAAACATAGAAAGGTAAGGATATTCAATATTTTGATGAATTACTTGGAGAAGCAAACAACCTGTGCATTCGTACTTGTTTTTCTTTTTGTTTCGGACTTTAAATTCACTCCAAAGTATTCAGATTGCAATTTTTAGAATAGCTCTGTTATAGATATATGGATATAGATGTATGATAGATATTTACGTGCTTTTTTTGGTAAAACTACCAAGTGATTTCCATAGTATGCGTGTCTCATGTAGATGCCCGTTGCAAACAATCCAAATAGGTTCCGAACAGACGGAATGATGCCCTAAAGCCTTAAAGCCTACGCTAGTCGGAGATTACTTTCGCTTTTTACACTTTGTCCGACCGCGGCGTCTGCGCGAGGAGTTCTGACGGGTGTCGGACTTTTTCGACGACCTGAAAATGTATCGAGATTCGACCTCAGAAAAGCAAGTTAACTTGGTAAATCAACTTAACGGAACTTTCAAACTTAACGATTACTTCATCAATCAATTTTGTGAGAATTCCAAGTGACTTGAATATCGATCGATCATACGTGAAAAATGATACCTGTGAACTCTGTTCACTGAAACGGACGAGTGTTTCTTTAACGTTAGATGCTGCTGGACCAACTCCGCCAGTTTCCCCTGCTGGGCGAGCATCGAGAGGAAGGTGCAAATGAATTCGTCGTAATTGTGGGTCCTCCGGCAATCGTCGATCTGGAAGATCCACAATTTCTATAATTCCACGAAAGTACAATGCCTGGAGATATTATCAATTAATTACGAGCAGAAACTATTGTGACCTACAATCGCGAGGAATGGGATATCGTGGCTGTCAGCCGCAAAAATCTCTGTCGTTAAAAATAGCGGTAGCGCTTCGTGACGCGCACACCTGCAGGACCGACCTTGTACTTGTTTCTCTTGTCGTTCTCGTCCTTCAGGCTGGTCTCGCACACGCTGATCTCGTGCTCCAGGTTTTTCAGCAGCGCCAGGAGGTCCTTGGGCGCGAACGTGTGCGGCTCAAATAATTCCGGATACTTGGAGCAGAGCTTGGGATCGATTTTCTCGACCTTCTTCTCCTCGATGACTGTGTCGCCGTTGCTGGTCTTGACCCGCGCATGGGGAATTCGAACTTCGCCTGACAGGCAGACCTTCTTGTGCAAGTGACCGCTGTCGGAGACCAATCTCTTCCCATTTATGTTGATATTTCCCAGCGAACGGCCTGCGTGAAACGTGACATTGCGATGTTAGGTAAACCGCATAAATGAATTTTTAGTTTGTTGAATCGCGTAAATCTGATACTTACTCAGGCCCGCCTCGTTCTTCTCGTCGCCGGCAACTCTAATTACCACAAACTTCTTGAAGTCCTTCGTCGACGTGGGGCTGCTCTGGCCGGAGTTCCATCCCCAAGCTAGAAGACACCAAGACATTTAAAATCTTTCTTTATCCGACAGCCCGAGATTCTTCAAGTTAGCGCTAATCTCAAAATAACTGTTTTTACTCTGCGTTATTAAACGTTTTCAAAATTCTGCTCGATAAGAAAACCGGCAGACGGGCAGGGTGTGACGGACAGGTCAAGTAACTGTACGTGAAAGGTGCGAAACGGAACTCGCATGTGCACGCGCGTGTGTGAAAAGTACACACAGTAGTCCCGAGGCACGAACTGCAGGCCCGAAAAGCAGTCACGACACGGAATGCGGTCCGTATCGGGTGTCCTCCTCGCGTGCAGCCTCGTCTGCCTGGCGAGCCCGTCGCGATGCCCGGAGCCGAAGAAGCCGCACCTAACAAGCTGTACGATTTTCTACAATTGCGTGAACCTGCCAGGCGGTGGCTACGTGTGGGTCCCGTCGAGATGTACCGAGGGCTTGGTGAGAGGGAAACATTGGCGTGTTAACGAACGGGACAAACAAAATCCCGTCTGCCGACGATTCTAATGCTAACAAATGTCTGAAATACGACGTTTTCAGGTGTTTCAACCGTATCTACGGATGTGCGTGGTCCCCGGTGACATCTGGACGTGCGACACGCTCTCGACTGAGCGCGCTCCCGTGACGAAGAAGCACGTGTTGTCCGAGCTGATCGATTCGGGGGACACCAGCAGCTATCTCGGATACACGCAAGATCCTTCGGGGTCCTCCGAAACAATCGACTCGTCCTACGTGATCGACGACTTCTCCGACTCGACGACGCAGGCGGTGACGTATCCCCTGATCGAATTTGAGGAATCGGACGGTACGACGCGTGGCGACGAAAGCGTCGGAAACGCGTCGGATCACAGGGAGAATTACCTGGACGAGTACACGAACAGCCACGGGCAATTGCCGTCGTTCCTGATGCAAGGGTACAAGGACATCGTGGACAGTCATTATAAGTGGCTGAACGAATTGATGAGTCGACTGCATGTCTATAAGGAGCTGTCGGCTGCGATATCAAGTACCCTATCGGTAACTGTTCAAGACTCCGCGATCGTGAATCATCCGACGCAAAACATCGCCATCTTCGCATCTCACAATCGCAGGCAGAACGTGTCGTTGAACTACCTCGCGTCGAGTCACGCCGAGGCAGAGTTACATAACGGTGAACCCACCGCGGGGAGTGACGGGCCTCAGGTGGACAGCGTCGCAACGACGACAGCCGGCGCCGTTACGACGGGGAGTGCTGCGTTGGAGCTGCTAATCGACAGTCTGGATCCCGACAATAGCATAATAAGGATCGGCGATAATCTCGGGGGCAAACAGTACCTCACGATCGACCGGTACAGAGCCGTGGCGCATCGATTAACGTCGCGGACCGTCAGCGTCGTGGCGTGCACGCGAAACGTGCGTCTGCCGAACGGGACCGACTGTAACCGGTATTACACGTGCGAGTCGAAAACGGCCACCGTCGTGGAGTACGCCTGCCCGCTGCACACGGCCTTCAACGTGTACTCGCGAATCTGCGACGTCGAGAGCGTGAAAGCGTGCGGCGGCGGCAACAAGCCGCTGCCGCCTTCCGTGAACGAGATACTCTTCGAGCGCGCCGGGAACAAGAACGCGGCGACGCACGATAACGACGAGGAAGCGTCCGAGGAGAGACCGTGCCGAGAACTCGGCAAGACGAAGGATTCCGCGTCCGATTCTCACTACTACATCTGCTACAGCAGCATGCCGGATTCCGAAGACATCAAGTCGATCCGAATGACCTGTCCGAACACCTTGATATTTTGTCAGAGCAAGAAGGTGTGCACCACCAGACGACTGTGCGACGACGCTGCAGCCACGAAGTAAAATTTTTTCTTTTCTTTCTCTCTCTTTACCTTGAGTGGGCGAGTTGAAGGCCGATCCGATTTCCGACGACGTGTCTGTGCTCGACGAGCTGTGAGCCGGCGAGGTCTGAATCCGCAACGGCGTGGCGTAATCCAGAGCGCACATCACCACTTTCTCCATTCCGCTAAAATTCAACATAAATCGCTTGTATCAAAACTGCAGCACTGACAAAGAGTACTCTTTAATTTATAAGTTATAAATAAGTAAAATATAGTTATATCTTTAATTTATAAGTTCTAAATAAATAAAATATAATTATATATATATATATATAAATGATAAATATATAATTATAAATAAATAAAGTGTATTATATACGGGAGAAGATATAACTAATTTTAACAAAAAAAAAAATTAACAAAGTTTATGCTTACAAACTGTTACATTCCCTACTACTGTAGCCCACGAGATTTAACTGAACCTCATCAGTCAAAATATGATATTTTGGTAAAACTAGAGATAACAGTGTTACACGTGAATGAAACACTCGATTGTTATTTACGTGGATTCCGTTTTCCCAGACGCGATGCCGGTGACCGATTCGTCCATAACCACCGCCGAATCATTGTTTCTTTCAACGTTGATAGTGGGAATCGCAGGCGATTCTTCGATCTCCGTCTTGGTGGGCAATCCGTTCTCGTCCTCGGTCTTGCCTCTCTTCTCGTACGCCTGCTTCTCCTTATCGGGATCGATCTCTTTGTGCGAATTCTTCTCGGCGTTGCCGCCATCCTGATGGCTCAGCTTCATCAACTGCTGCAGAGCCTCCAGAACTATCTGCCGGTTGGTCTTCAGCATCGTCAGCTTGTGCGAGATGGCGAGACGTCGGTCGGGCACGACGGCCATCAGATTGAACCTAATGTCCTGCAGCTGCTCGCCGGTCGCCATGCCCAGGCGATCGGTTATCACGCGCCTGAATTGCTCCGTCCACTCCTCGTGCTCCTTCCATGGCCCGTGATCCATGGGATACGGTTTCAGGCCGTCGAGCTCGAAGAGTCTACCGTTTATCGGCACGTAGCTGACGAAGTGGAACGCCTCGCCGGTGAATCTGCCGGTCGAGACGCCTGTGTTCTTGTCCTGCCGCCTCTTCGCCTGCGGCATCGCGTGCGAGTTGTGCGCGCAGGCCAGCTCCGGCGTGTTGCCAATCGCCCAGCCCTTGTTCTCCGGGCACATGCCGGAGGTGTGCATCTTCAGCCGCGACAGCGTCGTGCCCAAGTGGATGTTCGGGCAGTTCAGCAGGACCGAGAGTAATGCGTGAGTGGCGCAGCTGTTGGGGACAACCTGCAATAGTTACACATTATACTACAAGGATAATATACATCGTTTATGTATAACCTTGGCAGTAACTATAAAGCACCTTCGCATTTTCTTGGAAAAGACATTGATAAGAGCCAAAAGAGGCCTAACAAAGTTAAAATTGTTATAAAAAATATATATATATATATTTTTTTCAATAAATCTGTTTTCCTAATTGATTTTTCGTTAGAAAAATGTACGGAACGTTTGCGTCAATTTGCGACGATGCTTTATAGTTATACTAGGTACGACTGTATGTAGTGCTAGATCTGACGTAATAAAAGCGTATATATGTTAGACCTGCTGCGCGAAGAAGATATTGTTAACGATCTCCTCGTCCTTGACAAAGCTTTCATCCTGCTCCACGACCTTTCGCCTGGATCGCCGCTCCTCGATCCATCGAAACAGGAAGATGAAACCATAGACCGGGCCTTCCAGGGACTTCTGCAGGTCGTAGATCTCCTCCACCTGGACGCCCTTCACGCCGAAGTCCTCCAGGAGCAACGTGAACAGGCCTGAACAGGCGTGGGGAAAGTGTGTTATACATAGCTTTGCCTGCTACGAATTTTACAGAGCAAGGTACAATTTCTATTAAGCTAAGTGACAGACATTCGTATCTTCTCATTGACAAGCGATTAACAGACGCGTGTCAACGGTGTAACAACGTACCCGGGTCGCTCTCTAACTCTAGCCAACCCTCGGTCAATCGATTAATGTCAACGGGCATCTTTTCGTTAGCTGTTCGGACGACGCGCGGAACACGGCAAGTAGTCGGCTCCAAGGACTCATCGCACTTCGCCAGCCAGAGCCGCCATGTTGCTAATGTTGCGCCAAAACTATGTCTGTCACATGACGTGGTCACGTGGTATGCAGCGCGACGGACAAGCCGCGTTTCTGCACGCACACATGACTCCTTTTGCAGACTGACAAATTTTTTAATTTAGAAAGTTGGATCCTTAAAAATCGTGGAGAATACAAGTAGATAAAAAATACTGAAAATAAAAATAACAGTAAATAATTAACGAATTCGTTACACGATTACACTATTTCTAAAATACATCAAGCTTCACATTATCTAGGGCTATCTTGTTACTTTAGGTTTTCAAAACGGTGCTTTCGAGGAAATTTACTTTAAAAATCTAGTACGTAACGTAAATTTTTAGTAAAAAAAATTTTTCATCAAAAGCAACGTCTCTGACGAATGTGTCGAGGATGTGTCTTGGAATATATTATTTGTAATTAAGATCTATTATCGCAATACTAAATTAATTCACACATATACAATCTCTAGATATAAGTATAAGAACATCTAGAATTAATGCAACTTTGTTTCAAGGCATCTATATTTTCTCCCTCTCCCTTTTTACGCTACTTTATTTTTATTTGACGTACTTTAAAATCTAATATATTAATTGCATAACAATTTTATTAATATTCGTCAATATTTATATAGTAAACCATACACAGTAAACTAATCAGTAAATACAAAGTAAATTAGTAACAATATTTATTGTAATCATTTTACTAATATATATCTATATTAAATAATACATTAAATTTCAACTATTAAAACTCGTTATTCACATACTGCATCCGAGTCTTAAAAAACGTAGCCAACTCTTCTTTTATTGTACTGAGGTATGAGAGCTACTTTATCACATATATACATAATAAAATTTTACGGTTGTTGCTTTAGACATGAGACTCTTGGAATTTGTACAGCTTGCTAATTTCTCGGTGCCAAACACTGATTGATCACGCCAAGCAGCATGGAATTTTCCAGAGCAGCGGCCACTCGTTCCTTATCCGCGAGCTGCTTGTTCACTGCCGCCTCCGAGACATGAGTGCCTGGGGAGATCTCCACGCTGACCTTGAACCTAGCGGGTAAGGCACGCAGCAACTGCACGCGAATGGACAATCCAATCAGAGTGGCCATGCTGCAATGCGGAATCGTGGGCGTGAATTTAATATCCACTGTGTTCCTCCTGTCGTTAACCTGTAATACAGACGCAGGTTTTTTTGGGAAATTTTAAAATGCAATAAAAACCAATGCAATGTTGTTTAAAAAATATGTATTGCACCTCGATGAGATTCTGCTCTACTACGTTCAACTCCTCCAGAGTCAAAGGATGCTCCGGATCATTGATGTTCCTAATTATATCTGTAAATTTATAATATTAATAATCAATATTACTTCTTTATAATAGAGAATGCATATAACAGTGTGTAGTTTATAATATATAATGTATATTCAATACATTATATTTTAGATTTTTATTAGAATGTATCACACAATCTACTAAAAATGTAAATATCAATTGCAAAATTCTTTAGCTATTATAACAAAAATATTAAAGCGCATATATAATTGTTCATACTTGAAGGTAATAGATATACTCAATTTTCGGTCATCAGTAAAAATATAATAGTCTAATAATCGCAAATAATAGTTAATTAAATCTCTTAAATGCGAACATAAAGTATAAACAATTATGCAAAATCGACAATATAGGTTATGTACCAAATATCTCTCGCGCGTCAAATTCATCCGCGACATCCTCGTCTTGCTCCTCGACTGTGATCTCTCGGTCATCCAATTTCTTGTAGAGCTTCGGGTTAATGTTTTCTAAATTTTCGCCCATCGTGTATCATCGAATGAAAAATCAAATCTTACACCATGCTACAGACTACACTTCATTACACTCTACTCGAAACGACAGAAATATATGATAAAACGCCTCAATGTGTACAAAACGTTAACTACGTAGTCATGTCAAGGAATGTTATCAATGGATAACACACGTTACCGATGTTAAGTACATACAGTCGATATAAAGGGAAGTCTGAAAATAAAAATGTCCTGCGCGCGTTTAAATGAAAACTATCCACCAACGCCTCATATGTGCATATTGAACTATATACACGTAGCATAAACATTTATACTTCGTATTATTTATTACGCTACAAATTTAATTTAAATATAATTAAAAATTGCGCTGAAATATATATTTTAATACAACGCATATAAAATAATACAAAAAAAAAGACATTATATAATATAAAATTATAGAAAATTATATGATAAAATTACTATATTGCATAAACAATATATTTATGCAAGCTACTTTATTTAACCGATTATACTAGCAATTTGCAAGTCATTGACTAAACTTGGAATTTTTCTAAGCAAACTATATTCAATTCAAAATTCAAATAAAAGTTTGGACAAAAATTTAATTGGACTAAAACGAATTAGCCCATTGAGGCCCTCCACCACCCCCGCTAATTAAATTAACGGTCCTCTTTTGTCCAAAGTAGCTATATGCCGTCAATATAATGACAAATAACATTATGCTACCTAGGTGATATGTATTTTTTTACGTTTATATGAATTCATATATTTTCTAAATTTTTTGGAGTGACTTTTCACTCTTTTGAAGTGAGACCCTTTCTAGAAAATTTAGAGAGTACATATATTATTTTATAATGTATTTTGATATCAAAATGTACAATGAAAATGAATGAAAAGTTTCAATATACAAAGTACATAACTATAACTACAAAGATCAAGAACATTTGAAAAGTTTTTCATATATTTTTAATTTGAGATTTTAAACAAAAATTTAATTGGGCTAATACGAATTGGCCCGTAGAGGCCCTCCACCACCCCCGTCGACTTTAATCGGCGGGCCTCTGAAATGTAATTGTAAAAATATAATAATAATAGTAATAAATAATTATATATTTATTATTATTACATTAAATATTAAAATATTTATTATTTCATATAATATAATTATATTTATTATTGTTAATTATATTTATTATTTATAATTATATTTAATATAATATAAATATATTTATTATTGTTACATTTAAGTTGTTATTATTTTTTTTTGTTCGCAATATTTACAATTATCGAATCATGTCCCCCTGTCTCTAACTACCCGTATTCAATGTAGTAATAATAATACATATAGTCCCACCATGAGGGAAAGATACCTACGGCCCGGTTCCGTAGGCGAGGCGGATTCTATGTCGGGTACATCGCGGAAGATACTATCCGACATAGCCTACCGACCTAAAAACTCCCCCTTCACTAATTAATCTATATGGTGTTAAACTGAATCTTATTTAAGTCGCCACTGCTCCTATTTAATAAATAGTTCTTTTTTACTAAAACAATGGTTTTAGTAAAAAAGAACTAGTTATTAAGTAAGAGCAATGGCGACTTAAATAAGATTCAGGTTGACACTGTAGATTTAACATTTAAATGTTATATTCCTACCCACCCGTATTCCTACCTATCCATATTTTTTCCTAATAATTTGCCTACCAACGCGTATTTCAATTTAAAATAATAAATCTTTAATTAAAACCGCGACGGGATACGCGATTTATTAAAAAAATTTTATGGGTTAAATTTTTGAAGGTTTAAATTTTTTAGTGGTTAAATTTTTTAAGGGTTAAATTCAATATGTTGGTTAAACCAGCAAGAAACCCACCTGAGATATAACCCACCCGAAATAAAGAAAATCTAAAAATTCAAAGAAAATGGCTCTACTTATAATAATAAATTTAATAAATAGCGTTAAGTAACTTTACGCTAGTAACTTTACTAGATCCATTCTTTTTTTAATGGTCAAATTTTTTAATTATTTAAATTTTTTTCATATATGCGTATCGATGGATATTTTCTCTCTCCACAAATTTATGTTTAATGTCAATTAAATCAAAGACAAGAATAATAATTAAAACTCATCGCGTCATTGCAAACATATTTAAATTTATCCTACGATTTTACTATGTTTCCTTAACTTAAATTATCAACGTAGCTAGAATTACATCAAAGGCAATTCGAGTATTTTTTTAAATTAATTATAATTCGAAAAATAAGATTTAAAAATAAGATCTTTTCAAACAACATTTCTTTTCTTTCTTTGAGTTCTACATTTGTCTTTTAAAGTATCTATATGAAATTTAGAATCATTTTATATAGACACCAACTCAAGACAACACGTAAAATAAAAATTATTCTAATCTCGATGTCGAATGTGTACACATATATTTCGTAAAAAATTGAATTTATCAAAAATAATTTTGATAATTGATATAAAATGCAATAAAGAAATTACATACCCTTCCAAGAGGATGCTTTCAAATTCCTTGGCGACTTTTCTGCCGATTCCCATCAGATGGTGAGCGTAACGGCCTGCACGCGTATCCTCCACGTTCTCCTTCAGCTGGACCGCCAGTTCGCACCGTATGCTCTCGCCCCGCAGCTCGGGATCGCGGTGATCATAGCGATCGAAGTCCCTCATGTCCTCCGCCTCGACGTCCTCCCGCAGGAGCCACCGGATTCGTGTCGATCTGGACGTACGGCGCTGAAAAAAGGGACTAGTAAGCATTCTAAATTTTCTGCAGTGAAAATACTGCCTCTCGGCCATTCGAGTGACAGTATTTTCACTCATTTGGAGTGAGATTCACTCCAAAACAGTGAATGTCACTCCTCTCGCACATGCGGCGATATTGTCTTACAGGAAGCTGTAAAATAATTAAATTAATTAAAATTGATTTTATCGAATATAATTTTGATAATTGATATTAAACGCAATAAAAGAATTACATACCCTTTCAAGAGAACGCTTTCGTATTCCTTGGCGAGTTTTCTACCAATTCCCATCAGATGGTGAGCGTAACGGCCTATGCACGCGTATCCTCCACGTTCTCCTTCAGCTGGACCGCCAGTTCGCACCGGATGCTCTCGCTCCGCAGCTCGGGATCGCGGTGATAGCGATGGAAGTCCCGCATATCCTCCGCCTCGACGTCCTCCCGCAGGAGCCACCGGATTCGTGTCGATCTGGACGTACGGCGCTGAAAAAAGGGACTAGTAAGCATTCTAAATTTTCTGCAGTGAAAATACTGCCTCTCGGCCATTCGAGTGACAGTATTTTCACTCATTTGGAGTGAGATTCACTCTAAAACAGTGAATGTCACTCCTCTCGCACATGCGGCGATATTGTCTTACAGGAAGCTGTAAAATAATTAAATTAATTAAAATTGATTTTATCGAATATAATTTTGATAATTGATATAAAACGCAATAAAAGAATTACATACCCTTCCAAGAGGATGCTTTCGTATTCCTTGGCGAGTTTTCTGCCGATTCCCATCAGATGTTGAGCGTAACGGCCTGTGCACGCGCATCCTCCACGTTCTCCTTCAGCTGGACCGCCAGTTCGCACTGGATGCTCTCGACCACGCCGGCGGTCCCGCTCTCGCCCTGCAGCTTGGGATCACGGGTGATAGAGATGGGAGCGATGGGGTGACCACTCTTGAATTCCGGTGTACAACCCGTCAGAAATCCGTTAAATTCCTTGAAGTCCGATGAATTCCTCGAAGTCCGGCAAAGTCCGATGAATTCTAATGAAATTCAGCGTAGTCCGTGAAGTCCTGCGTAGTCCATGAAGTCCGGTAAAGTTCGGCGAAATCCATTGAAGTCAGATGTATTCCGATGAAATCCGGCGTAGTCCAACGAAATTCAGCGTAGTCCGTGAAGTCCTGCGTAGTCCATGAAGTCCGATGAAGTCCGGCGAAATCCATTGAAGTCCGATGTATTCCGATGAAATCCGGCGTAGTTCGAAGTTCAGCGTTGTCCGTGAAGTCCTACGTAGTCCATGGAGTCCGATGAAGTCCGGTGAAATCCATTTAAATCCGATGTATTCCGATGAAATCCGGCGTAATCCGTGAAGTCCATTGATGTCTTGAAGTCTGAAGTCCAGATGTACACCTATTTTCTTAGTTGTTACCCCCTCGAATGGGAGTCTCTGATGTCCTTCGCCTCGACGTCCACCCGCAGGAGCCATCGTTTCATCACCAGTTAATCGGGCGACTGCACGCCGCCGATGAATTTGTGGCCCGCGAAGATGATCGCGTCTTTGTGCACCGCGGTCTCACCGACCCCGGGCAGATGCAGAATCATGTCGATCTGGACGTACGGCGCTGAAAAAAGAGACTAGTAAACTCTCTAAATTTTCTGCAGTGAAAATACTGCCACTCGGCCATTTGAGTGACAGTATTTTCACTCATTTGGAGCTTCACTCCAAAAGAGCGAAAATTCACTCCAAAAAAGTGAAAGTCACTCCAGAAAATTTAAAGAGACTAACACGCCGCCTCGAACGTGTGCTTTCCCTCGATATATCGAATAGCCTATATCATCCTCCTGTTATGTAACGCGCGAGCGCTTACATATGGAATCATTATGTCACTAATAATAATATTTAAGTTATCTTGATTATAAAGATGTTTACGCTATCTTACAAGCGTCATATACACAGCAATACGCATAATTCGCTCGAAGCCGGTGACTGAAAATCTTTAGCAGAATCGACATAATCCAGCGAAAAAAATACCACAGGATAATTTAATAAATAAAATTCTTACATGCCTAATTAACTATCCACCGTATTTTTTTTCGCTTATCTTAGCTCAAAGATCACGCGCTACGGCGACTGATCGCGGTCAATAAATTAGCTCGCGGTCGATTTTTCGTGCTAATCGAACCAATTACACGTATAATTTTACTTTCTTTTAATGTTTACTAAAATATTTATTTTATCTTTATTTTATACGTGATAATACGCGCGTTCAAAAAGTAAAATATATAATCTAACAGAAACTTTTAATTTTAAAGATCTTAAAAAAATCATAATTTATATGGATTATATTACTTTTCAAATATAGGAATATCATTTTAAATATGTATAAATCAAAATAATACTTCGCAATTAATTGTTGACTAGTCTGATCTATCCATTTAAGGGCAACGGATCTGTGAGAAGTCGTATCTGAAAATTCAAAGGGAACGCTATTAAAATGCAGGCGAAGCGGCTTCGTCTCTCGCGCGGATAAGTTCGCGTGCCAATAGCGGCGACGCTGCGGCGTCGGTGCAACAATTTACGTTTTACGAATTGATTTTACGCGTAGCGACGCCGGCCGTCGTGATGCCGTCTTTGACGTCGGTGCGCATCCTACTCTTTATCTTCGCGTTTATGCATTTTCCACATTTTAAATATATAATTATAAAAAGCGCGTGTATTTTAGTTATTTAAAACATGGAAAATGTATAAACGCAAAAATAAAAGTAGGACGCGTAGCAACGCCGGCCGTCGTAATGCCGCGCCTTTGACATCAGTACGCATTTAATATTCAAGCATCAAATATATTTATATTTTGCGATAGTTTTATAGTCGTAAATTTTTTTTATTAATGTTTTGTTATTGATCTTTTTACTGTGTATTTCCTATGCAAAGCGTTGCAAACAGGGACATTTTAGAATATAGCTTTTGTTAAAGAAATACAAAATCTTTCAATACTACTATACTAAGAGAAAGAAGTTAAAACTATTAAAGATTGAAAATATTGGAAACGTTTCAATTTTTGGCAACCTTTTTCATTTAAAAAGATTGTGAGATTTTTTTGAGTTATATTAAAAAACTATGTTCTCATCCCTTTGTTCGCTAAATATATTTATTAAATATTATATAGCTGTACATTGAAAACACCTGCGAATTGTATATAATTATTAATAACCAATGAAACTTCTTTGGAACACGATCTTCTTTAATACCCATTTCATCCATGACATCCATCTGGAAAGTTTTCAATGCTGGCTGTAAATAAAAGAGATTGATGCTTTAATTTTTTTTTACTTCAGACATTTCTATGCAAAATTTATGTGTTACTTCAAATGTTGCAGTAAAATTTTGATTCATTTTTACAACTTTTTAATATAAGATCTATAAATAGAAATAAATACAGATATTGAAATTCGAAATATTTTATATTTGACGTACCTCGTAAGTTATTGTTCCGACGTCAGCTTGTGTCTTTTGCTTGTTCTATATACAACCGAGGGATTTTGTAATCTATTGTTTCCTGACTCAAAACGGGAATAGGAATTACCCTAGCAGATCTCACGATTATGCGTACATGCTGACCATTCTCTGTGTATCGCCATTCTATCTAAGTTGCTTGCCTGCAACGATTCAATTTGTAGATTAATATTGTAAAGCGTTGACAATGTATGTCTTTATTTTCGAAAATGAATTCTTCAAATAGATAACTCACATATTTGAAGGATCGACCAATTGCACTTGCGAGGTTATGAATAGCGGTAGTTCTTTCAGTATACACATAGGACATTTTTTATCCCATTTAGTGGATATCAGTTTGATGTTAAGTCCTTCGACAATCACCCAATTTCTTTCTTGATAAATCTCTTTTACGATCCCATGCTTTCCTTTATCTTTTCCTGCTAAAATCTCTACCTAGATAGAAAAATATAAGAGTAATGAGCAATATTTTTCTATTAAAATAATGTTATTAAAACGTCATCTCTTTTCTCTTTATTTTTCCTGAAAAGTTTTACCAATAAAGTGACATACCTTGTCAGCCTGAAAAAAAGGATCAATCCTTAATAGGCTCTACATGAATGAATGGATGCATTTTGTCAGGTGCATTGTCACGATGAAAATCGTGAGTCCATGGACGATGTATAGAGAAATGAAATCGTTTTCTTTCGATCGTGCGTGACAAATAATTTGGCTTGTGAGGAGTCTTCCAGTAAACCTTATTAACAAATAATAAATGTTAAAATTAATAAAAGAAACAATTTGTTAGCAGAGTGCTATTAAAACAACTTTGAGAATCTATAGAATTGACCTAATCATTAATTCAGTAATAGGCACAACTTGCAAAACTAAACAAGTTTTTCAATTCAGTTATTCAGAGTCTAAAAATTAGAACTCGTCATCTTAATATTATTGTTCTCATAAAAAATATGTAATATTATAAAAATAATATAAATATATCTTTTTTTCTATATATTGTATTTGTTATAAGTAAATTTCCATGTTACACTAATGGAACGATGGGCTTTTTCTAAATGACTTTATCAACGTGAAAAGAATTATAACGTATTAAAATTTCGCCCAATTCAATTCAAGTTCAATTTCTGTGGAGTTTATGCGTGGTCCTTTGACAATGTACAGACTAAAACAATTTGATAATTGTGCAGACCTGTTCCATAGCGCGTTTTATGTATCTGTCCGGCAAATTTGAGTATTTCGTCGACCATTCTCCCACGCACTTTAACAAACTGGACGTTAATCTCATATCTGCTTCCTCGAACTGTACAAAAATTATTTCTACACTCAAATACGGATGTTACAATTTTTTCTCGCGTTACTTTTCAAATACTAATGTAAAACGTGCAATCACTGTATTTACTATTTAATTATGTTAGGTTAGGTTTGACAGTGTCGACACGCATAGAATAAACGCTAAATGCCCTCGTACACTAACGCTCTCTGAAGAAGCGGATCCAAATTACATAGCAAAATATAGTTTTCTGCACAATTTATGGTGCGCGTCCGTACTAAATTAATTTTTCGAGTCTGCTGGAATTTTATTCTCGAAAAATTATACATTAAAAAAAGAGGGAAAAGCCTGAGAATGGATATGCCGCATCTTAAGTGGTGACGTCCACGCGTGTCGTCCACACTAGCGCTTCTATATATGCACATATATACATATACATATATATCATATCTATTTTTTATTTTAAAAAATTCGGCATGTCCATTCTCAGGCTTTTCTCTTTTTTGTAATGCATAATTTTTCGAGAATAAAACTCCAGCAGAAATTCCAAGTGAATTTAGTACGAACACACACCATAAATGTGCAGAAAACTAAATTTTGCTATGTAATTTATATATATATATACGTTTCGCAGCGTCGGAAATTATATTAAATTAAATTATATCTGCGGTGAGAACTGAGCTACGGTCCACTTGACGCTATAAATGCTTGGAAGCTTTTAATTGATCAATTAAAATAAAAAGAATTTTATTGATAAATTAAAAAATGCCTCGAAGTATTTGTAGCGTACAATTTAAGAAAATATATCGTGCAGATATGTTAGATATTAAATATCCCGGTAATAAATTAAATTAAATAACTGTATGTGATTAATTTAATTTAAGGGGAGAAAGGATCATTTTCATTTATTTATACTTAGACGCATATATTTAGTGCAATCTCGCTGCGTAGCGTTCCGCTAATATGAAGTAGTAAGCGCCCTCTAATAAGGGCGCTTGGCGTGCGAGTGCGGCACTGTGCGCTTGAGCTGCCTGGTACGGCCTGGTACGCGTATAGGGAACGCGGGCCGCGGTTGCGCGCAACTACATACTTTAGCGCGGACCATGGAGAGAGACCGGCACGCGAGCGGCGAGACGCAACGCTACGCTCCCCCGAACTTGCTGCGGACTCGGCTGCTCGCCGCTCGGCTCCGCTCGGCTCCGTTCGGCTGCTCGGTTCCACTCGGCTGCCTCGGCTCACTCTGCACTGCTGAACTGCTCTGCACTCGGCGGACCGCCGGACTATCGCGCGCGCGGCGCGTACGCGCGGCTTATATACCCTACCAAGCGCGGACCATGGAGAGAGACCGCCTCACCGCCCGTGTCAGTTTCAAGCGGACGATTAGGAGTAGCGCAGCGCGCGCGGCCGCATAAAACGTTCGTACTTCGTACTGACGGATAGTGGCAGTAATGGTACTGGCTTCTTTTTATCATGCGCTCAATGTTTAATTAGAACTCAATGTTTAGTTATAACTTATTTGCAAATAAATGAAATAAAAAATGACGTTAGATCCTTTCTCGCCTGTTTTGCAGCGTCGGAAATTATATTAAATTAAATTATATCTGCAGTGAGAACCGAGCTGCGGACCACTTGACGATACAAATGCTTCGAAGCTTTTAATTAATTTAATTGGTCAATCAAAATAAAAATAATTTTATTGATTACCTAATTAAAAAATGCCTCGAAGTATTTGTAGCGCACAATTTAAGAAAATATATCGTGCGGATATGTTAGATAGATGTTCGGTATTAAATATCCGTGATTACATATAGTTCAATGTGCACGTATTATGTATATATTAATTATATATATATTATATAATTATAATTAATTATATTATATATATATATATATATATATATATATATGTATAAGCCGCGCGTACGCGCCGCGCGCGCGATAGTCCGGCGGTCGCTGAGTCCGCAGCAGGTTCGGGCTTTCAGGGGAGCGTAGCGTCTCATCTCGCCGCTCGCGCACCAGCGCCACCAGCCAATGAGCGCACAGCGCCGCGCCAAGCGCTCTGATTGGAGCGCGCTTACTACACGGGCCGAGTATATAAGCGGACCGCTACGCAGCGAGAAGCCTTTTGCTTGTGGGACTCCGACCGTTATGGTCGCGTCGGGCATCATATCTCTCAGTTCCTTTCTCTCTTTTCGCGTAAAAAAATATGTAATTAAAAAGATTTTTGTTTTATTTACCCTTCCTAAATATTATATAATAGAGCATCATTTTCCGTATCTGAACTTTTCATATCTGTCAGTTCCTTTCTCTCTTTTCGCGCAAAAAAATATAATGTAATTAAAAAGAAAAAGCGTTGGAGCCAGTTGGAGCGTGAACCGCAACCCATGTATCGTGCCGTGCCAGAATTGATGCAGTAGAGCGGTCGACCGCTAGATGTAGCGGTGGTTGCCGACGCCACTCTTCTTTGTGTATATATATATATATATATGCAAGTCTCTACTCGACAACTGTCGACAACGCTTCGCGTCGCTTCGCTCGCATTCCATTCGCGAGAGTCGCGAATGTCGCGATGACTAGTCGCTAGCTCAGCTGCTTAGCTGTTTGTTGTTTATTATCGCTTATCGCGGTAACGACGCGATGCACAATCGTATGTATACGTGATTGATCGTTCCGACCGTGACGACGACGACGACGACAACGACGAGGAGAGCAAAGGCGCCGCGAAGGCACGCGCGGTACAGCTGATTGGCAGACTCGCGTCGTCCGGGTCACGGCCGTCTCTCTCTCTCTCTTTTTCTCTAGTCGCAGGCAACGGACTGACTCGACGGTCATGGCGGGTTTCGTGCTTCGAGTCAAGACGAAATCGGGTCAGAAGGTAGTCTACGGTCTCACGGCTCACGACAAGGTGTCCAAGCTGAAGGCGAAGCTCGCCGAGCTCACCAGTGTACCAGCCCCTGCTCTCCAGGTGCTCGTCGGTTTTCCGCCGAAGCCCGTCGACCTGGACGCGGCCGACGCCACGATCGAGCGCGTCGGCATCATCTCCGGGGACACGCTCATCGTCGAGGAGAAACAGGTTTGTCACGTAACCTCTGAGAGCGCGGTAAATAAATGAGATAGCATATGGCTCGCAATTCTCCTTTTTTGAGAGTATTTTTATGCTAACGAATTATACAAAGATATTATATAATTATATCCTAGTCGCATTAATCTCGTCGTTTAAATTCTTTTCAAGATATGTGATAGATATAGAATAGCTCCAAAGTTCAAACGTTTATATATAAAAATAATAATAAATTGGAGTTACATGTTTTTTTATTTAAATTTCTATCTAAGAATTTGAACGTGTAACAAAAAGTTGAATTTTTGTCACATTAAAATTATAATTTTATCTATTTATTTTGCACAAACTCAATTCAATGTTGAGAGTCAAGGGAAAATCTCTTATTTGTAAACATCATGTGCAGATTATGTTTAATGAGCAAAGACTGGACAATCTCGGGCGGTCGCATATCGTCGACCAAGAGAGCTTTGCCAATGCTCCAGGTGTCTTAATGAGAAAGGTTGTACCTGCAGACAATTCCTGCCTCTTCACCAGCGTGGGTTATGTTCTGAACGGTGAGCGAGCATTTAAAGATAAAAAAATTAGAACATGTTGCAATTCCACTAGTGATAACATATATTCAACTAATTTTCTTAAATTTTAAGATACAGAAAAGTGTTAAGAGAATTTAATTTGTTTAATTTTAGGATCAGGCCTCTAAGAATCGTACGATTGAACACAAGCATCTAAAAATATCTAGACTAAATAAAAATTTCGTATTTATTTGAAGATATATATAGAAAGTATAAGAAAAATAAATATTGAACTGTTGTACCAGAAGTTGTAAATTATAATGTAATTTATGTTTCTTTCAGGAAAAGTCGATACTAGCTGCGCCAGTTTTATGAGGGAGATTATAGCAAACGCGGTAGCGGCGGACCCGAACGAATACTCCGAGGCATTCCTTGGCAGACCCAATGCCGAGTATTGCGAGTGGATTCTCAAGCCTGATGCTTGGGGCGGCGCCATCGAGCTGTCGATCCTGTCCAAATTTTATGGTTTGGAGATAGCGGTGATCGACAGCATTAACGCAATCATCAATAGATTTGGCGAGGATCAGCATTATGCTCAACGAGTCTTTCTCATATTCGATGGGATCCATTACGATCCTCTTTATCTGGAACCGCTCAATGTAAATCTTATTGTTGTTTATTTAGAAAGTTCTTATCTCTGTCGATATTTAAAAAGCTCTTATCTCCGTCGATATTTAAAAAGTGTTTATCTCTGTAAATTCTTAGATTGTGTAAAAAAAATCAAATAGCTTTTTTTTACATCTATCTAGAAAGATCTTTCAATACGGAATTCTACCAATATCCTTTGCAAAATTTTACAGCTACGACTAATACATTTTTGCATTCAGGGTGGCAGCATCCAAACGATCTTTCCCACTGAGGATGAGAGAATGCTGCTGGAGGCTGCCCAGCTGGCGAAAGAGGCGAGATCGAGTCGTCAGTTCACGGACGTGCAGAAATTCACGCTGATGTGCATTGACTGCAAAATCATGTTAAACGGACAAGCGGCGGCGCAGCAACACGCCAAGGACACCGGTCACAAGAATTTCGGCGAAGTAGCAGCGTAGCGTTGTATCGGCAGCTCCATATGATCTAACTCTTCGGTGACTATCCTTGACTCTAAAACAGTATAGGGTTGACAACCTTCGACAGTTGGTTTTTTTCTTCGATTGGAAACGTTTCGGGATCTATTTATTCTCATCGTGCACTTTTGTTCACTTTAATTCAAAAGCACTTATTACGTACAAATTATTTGTGATGAGGAATCCGATCGGGAAATTCCGTGCGTGAGGGAAAACACAGGAGTGTGTGTGTATGTGTGTGTGATATTTTTACAAATTATATTATTGTATAATTATTAACTAGGTAAATAGAAATAGAAATTGTTATATTCTAATTGAGAAATTATTTTTTTCTAAATTATACTCTTGTGTGACATAATGTTATATATAAATTAAGGAATCGTTTTTTTTTTAAATTCTAAATTACACTTTTGTATGATACCTGTATTGTTATATTTAAAAGCAAAATTGTACTCTTTAGGAATATTTCGTACTGTTTAGGACTGAAGAATTGTCGTTTTACAGCAAAAGAACGAAAGAGCTAATATCTTTTTCTACTCGAGCGAGGCGCTTGCGAATAGTATTGTCATGCGAATTCGTTTGCAATTAAGGATTGTTAACACGCATAATATACACAAGTTACTGATTTTGATTAAACATTATTCGTTATGGATACCTGCGATCCCAGATCGTCCGAAAGGATATTTCATCCGACGATCCTCCTGAATCTTCACATTTTATTGAAAGAGCAAAATTTGCAATTTTATTAGTTTCACATCTAAATAAGTCACACGAAATGTGTGCTGCGATTCCAAATCCAATCTTATATTTAAGATGATCTTTGATAATATTTTTATTCAATAGACTGATCATACAGCATCTTGTAATTAAAATAATCTTAATTTTACGATTTTAAATATAAACTCGAACCATATATATACCGCTCAAAAACGATCTCAAATATGAAATTGATTATAAATATCGCTCAAAGATCTTATGTTTAACATTGTTTTAGGTTTTGGTCTCAGCTAGTTTAAGATTTCATTAGTCAATAAAAACAATAATATATATATAGCATGTCAAAATCACGCTCAAAACGATCTTGGTTACAAGATCGCAATGTGATGGGACTCAATTGCTCATGTTGTAATTAGTAAAAATCATCGACATGTAATACTGGATAGAGCATGCGACAAAATTTCTTTGATGTTTCATCTTGACAGACCTAGAAAAAGAAAAATAGATGTGTGAGCACGAATCTCTCTTTCTATTATTAGTCAAAGTCTTTTATTTAACGATAAAAGAAACAGTAGCGTATACTACTTATTATACTTTCAAGTCAGAAGCTGTATTATAATCTACAAGTGTTTAACAGCTGTATATGTATGTATGTACAAACGGTGCAATGATTAAAGTCGGAATAATTACATGTAATATAAAATTAATAAATATATAATTTATGTACTTTATGTAAAAATAATGCTCTCAACACGTGAGATGTATCAACTCGTGCGTATAAAAATAAAATTTTAAAGTGCCTCGTAGCCTTTGATCTACATGAGTTGCTGCTATCCACGTATCTACCTTCTCTTTCTAAATCTGTCAAGATGATTTTGATCATATGCTTCGGTCCAATACTATGCAGGCTGCGGTCGGGGACTTTTAACGTTCTAAATATTCTAATTTGTTTTATATATATATATACATATGTCTAATGAATATATATGTCGATGGTAAGAACGGAATCCTCAATTCTCCATTGATTTCTCGTTTTTATGGTTGCACGCGGAACCGGAGTATCGACGGAGATGGTCGAACGACCGCGGCGCTCCGAGCGGAGCAAAGCGGAGGCGGGAGAGGCGTAGTAATCGGAGTTCCCCCCTCGAAGAGGTTAGCCGTGGTTAGGCGAGTTTGCCGAAACGCGCTTGACAATCAGCAGTTCGTTAGCAGCCGTGGTGATCGTTGGTTGGTCGGTCGGTCGGTCGGTCCGTCAATCGCTCGTCATGCCTGTCGTCCCGTGAGAATACATTAAAAAGCTCGTCGCGCGGCTCGCGCACACGCCCGTCCGTCCGTCGCGTCAGCGAGAGCCCGATCAGAGATCCACCTCCACGGAGAGGTGGTTTCCCGTGTTCGCACGCACGCCACCCGGGGGAGCGTCGCCCGTCCGGCCCACCGGGGTATGCCGTCGTCGCGGGGCCGTGCAATACGGTAAAATGTTGCCGCCGCTGCTGCTGGCCGACCGGGATCTGCATTCGCTGACAACCAGGTGAAGATGGAAGATGACGCTGACCTCAGGGAGCAGTTGTTTCACAACACCGTGCGCGAGAACATAGTGAGTAAACGATGATTTTCGCCAACGTACGTGTTTCACGGGCGGGCCGTCATCGTCGGGGCCCGTGAAAAATGTTCCCCATCTCCTCGACGCGCCGAGCCGCGAGTCCGCCCGAGTCTCGAGTTTCCCGCGCCGTCGTGTGTGCGCGAAGGAAAAAGAAGAAAAAAAAAAGAGACACCGACCTCGGGACGTCCCCCCATTGTCGTCGTGGGCGACGATCGCGATACGGACGATCGTCAGGCCGAGCGCGATGCCTCGACGTGGAAATCAACCGGATGTCGTCACGATCGAAACTTCTCTGGAATCCCCACGCCTATAGGAGAATCGTACGTCATCTGGGCGTCGCGTTGTATTCCACGATCGACTCGTAGCTGATCGTAAAATCGTTTTTTTTTTCTTCTTCCGTATCATCGGCAGGCAAAATTGAACCTCGCGACTCGGCCCTCGACGAAAATCAGCGTCCGCGGGACGGGATCTCTCCAATTTGTCGAAAAAAAAAATAGGCCTGGGGGATTAACGGCGAAGGGCGGGAGGGGGAGGCAAGGCTCGTCCGCTCGCAAAATTAGGGCTGCGCTCGGCGCTTCGCGCGAATTGCCCGATCTCGGCATAAAACGTGCCTTATCACGGCGGCGACAGGCGGCGATAAGGCGCCCCGTCGTCGGAAGCTCGTGATTATTCCGCCGTTGTTTGTCGACGTGGACCGACGGTCTTCTAAGAGCGGGGCCCACTTTGTTTATATCTTAACTTAACGGGACAAACGCCCCGTTCGTCCTCGATTGATGGCACGCGGGTGCTGGTACTGCTGGTGCGAGCGATTTAAAACCACCGCGAAGTTTTTTCGCGTGTGTTTACGAAAGAATGCATGAGAGAGAGAGAGAGAGAGAAAGGCTCCTTCCTCCCCCTCCGCCGAATTAATTTTATTTCAGAGAAACGACTGACAGCCGCGCGCGAGATATGTATTGCCAAGCCGAGAAAGATGATATCCCTTCTCGTGCTCCACGTTTTATTTCTCTCTCTCTCTCTCTCTCTCTCCCGCAGATGTTTTATAAATAAGGTGCTCGTCGAGATCCTTTGTTTATGCGAAACGCGCAACACCGTTCTCGCTTATTAAGTAATTTTCCCTCATTTAACTTCAACCTCGACCGCGTTGTAATATCGAGCGCACAATTCGTCGCACTTTGTGAATTTAAGTAGCGTCGCGGAATAAATCTGAGATGGGGAGATTTTTGAATTTTACGACGAAATTTTCGCGAATCAAGAGATGATTCTGGGACGCCTCGTTATATATAGATCGAGTTAAATCTCTTGGCCTCCCATCTCGTTCCCTCCTCCTTCCCTCGCTCCTTCGTCCGTGAACTCGAAAACTAGCGGGAACGCGCGAACGGAGGAATTTCAATCGTCGATGACGTCTCCGCGCAAGTACATTCACCCGAAGGCGTCGCAAATGTGCCTCGCAATCTCGCAAATCGCTGTCGCCGCTCGACACGCGCGCGGAGGAAGCGGGCCGGGTCTTGTTGTCGCCCGGCGCGGACGACGTCTTCGTTTTGCGAAGATTCCTCGCGACGATGCCAAGAAACCGGTCCTAGCGCTTCGACTAGGAATCCTGAACGAGGTGTCGAAGGGGCCGAAATGGTACCTCGATTCTGTATAAAGAAGGGAAAAGATAATCAGTCAAAAGAGCGCTGCTTTATAAAGAAGTATAAAGTATAAGAAAGAAGTATATGTATATGTAAGAACGAAATTTAGAGCACCGGGAAGAAATATAAAAACGTATAAGATATCGAGCGTAAGAAAAGCGTGCATGAAAGTATAAATTACGAAAGATGCGCCTCTTTCAAGATTTCAAGTAGAGGGAAAGCGACATTAGAGATTAGAAAATTGGGAGAACATTAGGAAAAGATTAGGAGAAAAAAAAACTAGGATTTTATAACAGCGATTGTCTGACAAGCTAATTAGAACCACATGATGAATTGTAGGATTAGTGAAGTAAAAATTTCTACTTGTGTGTGATTAGATAAAACGGCGTGTTTATAGCGAATACCTAGTTTTTTCTGATAACATGTGTATGTCCATCGACTTTTACCTCTCTGGAAAGTATCGTGAAAGCACGTTCCACTTCCTCTTCGCGTGGCGACTTGCCGGGTGATCCAATTGCTTATGTTTCCGCGTTTGCTCGATGTCAGTCCGGAAGTTTGTCCGCGTCGCGTGCAAAGAAAATGCGAGAGAAGAGATAAAGGTTACGAAATACAGGCGGTAAAAAATGTAATTGATATTCAGATTGCGACAGACCGAGATAAAGCGTCCGCGAGTTGGAATTTCAAGGAGCGCCTTGACACGCTGTAATTATAATTAAATTATAGGAGAAGAAAAAGAAAAGGTATTGGAGTACCTCTCTGCGAATTTTCAAAGAGAGACAGGTCGAGAGAATCGAGTTACATCCTTTTGCCACATCCTCGCTTAGTCGATACGTTACGTTTGTCACGCGAGGCTTAGCTTCCTTTAGTTCGATATAAATTAAATATAAAGATAATTAAATATAAACGAACGTCAGCGCGTGGACGGTGCATTGTTCTCAGCGCAAAAGATCAGTTAAATCTCGCACTTTCATCCGTCCTATTCTCGGCCAGAGGCCGTTGCCAGGGCAGCGCGGCACCGAAAATGTCACGCGCACGTGGCTGACCGCCCGTAATTATACGCGCTCCGTATATCGCATTTCCCGGGGCGAATTAATTTTGATTATGTACATAACAAACTATAAAACGATGACTTGCGACGAAACTGACGTGCTCGCGCGATACGCAGTACGCACGAAAGCGTACGCGCGTGCAGAATTGTGGATTGGCGGTTGAATAAAGCTAGCGAGAACTTAGCGAGGCGGTATATCGATCGGGAAGGATTAATAAATGAAACCGAAACGCATAAAGACGATCCGAGGCTGGTCATCGTCGAGCAATTCGATCCGTTACTTATGCGCGCGAGCCGGTTTGTTATCGCGCAGTGGCGCCTGATTGGAAAACCTTGGAGTTCTCCTTTGTTACGTAAATCTGGAATATATTATATATATGATTTATTAGTAAAAGATTACTAAAAAAAAAAGAATACATATTATTATATAAGTATATAAATTAACGAAAGAAACTGTTTCTTCCGCCAAACTAATGCAATGTAAAAACACGCGAGCTTGATGTATAGATGTTAGAAAATTAATGTTTATTTATAGTTTAAGAATTAATATCGATAATATTTGTTTGCAGTTGACACCGATTAATTCTAGAAGTAATTCTGGGAAAACTTATAAAGATTAATATTTACAAAATACCGCATCAGATAAAAGAATTAAAGGCTTGTCGGAGTTTAAAGTTTCAGTCGCAATTTATACGGCTTCGTTTACCGACGCATTTTCCGTATTTTTCAATGTTGGAGGTATTTTGCTAATCACCGTGAATGGCCATGAATGATGCTCAGCAGTATTTACGTAATGCATGACGTCTTGTCTCGATTGTTAGGCATTCGATAATCACACTCGCGAATCAGAGTTTCTCATTTGAAAAAAAAATTCCGTTCCGCATTATTGACTTTTTTTTCACGTAGGGTCGTTATCTCTTCGTGACTACCAATTATCGCCACTTGAGGCACACCCTATACATCAGCTGTACAGCAGCTTACGAAGCGCACTCGCAACTGAAAAAAATATCGCTTGTGATATTTAAAAATCTGATATAATAATCATCTGATATAATAAGTAACACATAAATTATATACAAATAATTAGGTTAACAATAGTGAAACTAGTGAACTAGTATATAACCATTGTTAATTTAATTATTCGTATATAATTTTGTTTACTGTATTTGTAAGTACCAATTATTTATTATTGCCGTTATTATTACATGTAATACAATTGTATATATTAATTATTATATTAATAATTATAATTGTGTATATATTAATTTAATATACACAAAACGTAACTATATGTCTTTGCAGATATACTTGCTGCTTTTCTCGCTGTTATACATCTCGAGCTACGCGCTGATCGCGCGCTTCAGACGTCGGGATCGCGAGGACTATCTGTCGGTGGACGAGGATGAGGCCACCGTCTACAGGATCAGCCTTTGGCTGTGCACGGTCGCCCTGGCGATTTCCGTCGGCGCGACCCTCCTACTTCCGGTGTCTATCGCCAGTAATGAGGTCCTCATCTTATACCCGAAGAGCTACTACGTCAAGTGGCTCAACAGCTCCCTCATCCAAGGTAAAATTCTGAACTAAATAATCGGGAAAAAATACATATTTTAACATGAGTTTCTCGCGATATGTAAAAGCAGATGCGTATGTAGATGGAAAGATAGAAAGACTGATAAAGAGATAAATAAATGGATGGAGCAGCTTTTTTATTCTGAAAAAATCGTCTAAGAACCATCACATCATTCGAGATAATATTATAATTATAAAGAATTAATTAGTTTTAAGAGATTAAACCATCGATAAAACACAAAGAAAGGAAAGTAGAAGCACAGAGATGTACAGAGTATTCCGTTTTAATTCATCCACGTCATCAAAATTATTACTAGATAAAAACAGAATATTGTGGATAAAAGTTAAAAATTTTCGAAAAAAACTTGACGCTAATTAAACAAAATAAAAGCATGTAAGCAAATCACACTTTTACAAACTAAGAATACGAATTCATTTGTATTGTGTGTTAGTAGATATGTTTCACTATAAATTATATAATATTATATAAAATATCGATGACAAATATTTTGTGCGATATAATTAAATCATCGATTTACATCTCTGTAGTAAATCTATAATAGTTTACATACTCGTGTAATCATAACAAGATGAATTTCTATTGACAGGTCTATGGAACCACGTGTTCCTATTCTCGAACTTATCGCTCTTCGTGTTTCTGCCTTTCGCCTATCTCTTCACGGAATCAGAGGGTTTCGAGGGCCATAAAAAGGTGAGTAAAAAAACTCTCTGAAAGATTTCTAATAAGCCGTTGATCTTTTTACTAACCGATCTTGTGATCGTAGGGCGTGATGGCGAGGGTGTACGAGACAGTGACGGTTCTCTGTCTGTTGGGTACTCTCGTACTGGGAATGACTTATGTCCTGTCGGCCCTGTTGGATTATCAAAACTCAAGTTTACACACATTGCTCAGTAAGTATATACATATCATACAGGAGATCGTAGCCTTTGATGTATATCATATTTAGATATATCGATAAAGTTACGATATCGAATGAGACCATCGATCTCTGATCGTTCTTGATTTACCTTTGCAGATTTATGGAGTTATTATTTGCCTTTCCTGTACTCCTGCGTCTCGTTCGTCGGCGTAGTAATGCTGTTACGTAAGTGTCGCATATTTTTGCGTAACTTCACCATCTATTATACGCAGTACAGAAAAATCCTGCATTTGTAGCGTTCTTCGCTAATGCTTTTCCGCAAATTTACTCTAATTGGCGAATCATTTGTTTCTCAGTATGTACACCAGTGGGATTCGTACGGCTGTTCGACGTGGTGGGGTCGTTTCTTGTTAAACCCCAATTCTTGAAGAACTTGGACGAGGAGTTTTTTGCGTATAGATTAGAGGAGGATTGTATCCGCAGGAGGTATAGGCCCTCTTCTTTTCCTCGTATTTTTTACGCACATCGAGTTATTATCGTCTAGTGTTATTTTTTTTATATATGTATTTAATTCAACGTCTGTTTAGATTGCAGCACGTGAAAGCGACGGGGAAGTCATACGTATCGCCGGTGCCGATGTCGCCGGCGACGAGCTGCGGCTGGCCGATGCACGAGGACGACGAGCCGCTACTGTGCATAAGTCCGGGTCTACTGTGTCTAAGGAACGGTGCTCTGCAAAAGGGCCTTTCTCAACGGCTGGACGACGTCCAGAGGCGGCGACAGCTGCTGGATCAACAGCGGAGGACCTGGTGGGTCCGGCGCACGCTACTTTATCCGGTGGCGATGCTGGCGCTGCTCGTTCTGTCTACCGCCACGGCCCTATTAGCGGTGCAAAATACTATAGAATTGCTGATAGGCATCAAGGCGTTGCCGTTGAGCACAAGGGTATGTACAATTTCTTCCTAATTTAATTTTAATTTAAGTCTCATCGTTAATGTAAAAATGGTGGACTTATAATTTTGCGTGCTGTAATTAAAGGATTGAATTAATCTCAATTAAAAAAAAACAATGAGATTTGTTATCTAAAAAAAATCTATTTCATAGGTAAATTATTTAATGATTTCATTCGGTCCTTAATCGAATTTACTGAATTAATCAACTTTCTCAGTCGTGAACTTCGCTGCAATTATTAATTTAAGTCTCATTGTTAATGTAAAAATGATGCATTTATAATTTTGCATGCTGTAATTAAAGGGTTGAATTAATCTCGATTTAAAAAAAAACTTTCAGATTTGTTATCTCAAAAATAAAATCTATTTTATAGGTAAATTATGTAATAATTTCATTCGGTCCTTAACCGAGTTTAGTAATGGCAGTATTATTCTTGTTTCTCTTCTTTTAACATGTATTTTAATTTCACTTCGAAAAATTATAAAATGATTTTTTTATTTGACAGCAATTTACGCTCGGCATCAGTTCCCTGTCTAAGCTCGGGCCCGTCGGTGCGGCTATCGAGGTAGCAGTGATCCTTTACCTGGCAGTGACTAGCGCGATCGGCCTGTACGCCTTACCGGGCGTGAGAATCGTTCAACCAAGGTTCCGCTCCACGCCGCTCACCCATCTCATCGCGAATTGCGCCCTTCTGCTCGTGCTAAGTTCGGCGTTACCGCTATTATCGCGAATATTAGGTAAGACGCGAGTCGACTTGGAATGTTTCTATTTATATCCCACAAGAATGTCCCAATTTCAGCCATTTCACTCCATTATATTGTGAAATATAGTTAAAAATTGACAGTAGAAAGATCTGCTTGCTTTTTTTTCCTCGTTAAATCATAGATATGCATATCTAGCAAAGGATTTGAAAAATATTAATATTCTTTTTAATGATAGATTTTTTAACCAATTTTTGAAGTTGATATTTTTATTAACAAAAATAACAAAGTACAATTTTCGAATTATAAACGATCGAAAAGATTTGCGAAATAAAATAATTATAGATAACGAAATTACTATTTGGCATTTAAGAGAAGTAATTCTAAAGAGCGGAGCTTTACATGAATGGCAGCTTTATTATTGCTGCTCTCTGTTCACGTTCCTTCTTTATTGTCTCTCTTTCTCTCATCAGGAATGACAAACTTTGATCTGCTGGGTGATTTCGGACGCATCGAGTGGCTTGGCAACTTCAAGCTCGTGCTCCTCTACAACCTGATCTTCGCGACGGCGGCGATCAGCTGTCTGACCACCAAGTTCACGGCGACCGTGCGCAAGGAGATCTACGCCCGTCTTAGAAGCAGCCTGCTCGGCATCTTCCGTGTTACCGGCATTGCCGCCGACGCGAAGAAATATACATCGTCGTCAGGGGTATTTTCTATAAAAGAAGATTAGACTGATTTCTTATATTATTATATAATTAATGCAAACAAGAGAGGGAGAGAGAGAGAGAGAGAGAGAGAAAGAAAAGAAACGCCGGGACTTTGCGAAAGTTTGCTTGGTTTTTTACGTTCTTGTATGCAAGATTACAAGGAGCCTTTCTCTTTCTCTCTCTCTAGCCTCTCAAAGACGTGAGAAATTTATATCGTACGACGTATACAAGAAGAAAATACGGTTGCAGAGTTCTCGAATTCGCGGATCTTTGGACGTGCCAATCCAATTCGATACTCTTGTGAACTCTTAAACCTCCTAAATCGTTAGACTCTCACGTACTCGAGCGATCACGCGATCGAGGTGATCCTCCGTCTACTTTTGTAACTGTCCAACATTTCGTTTCTTTTAGGTTTTTCTTTTTTTAAAAATTTATGAATCCAAATATATTAAATATATGACAGTATATTTAAATAAAGGCGCCTTGCCCCTCGTGTTTGAGAGAATAAGTCGATTATGTCGAAATCATCGGCGGGAAACTTTATCCGCGATGTATAATCTCGAGACACATTCTTTTCTTCTTTTAAGATCGAGACGCTTTTAATCGCGTGTGCC